CCCCCTCGGTGTTTGCCATCGGGGTTGGGTTTTCGTCGCTTGGCAACGACGTTGTAAAACAAGCCAATTCACTTCGTGAACTCGGCCACCAGGTTACCGCGTTTTTTTAACCTCTGTTTTTTTTTTTGGCGGTGACGATAATGGTGGTCGAGTAGATCGTGTTGTCCGGGGTGGATAATCCTCACTCCGCGCAAGGGGGATGATCCCACCACGTTGTGTTATAATGGTCAAGCACCCTCGAGGCAGTTACACAGTGCGTACAACTGTCTCTGGAAGTGAAGCACCAGAAAATAAATTAAGTCATACGCAGCTGTCATCCGTATGCAAGGAAGTAAGCACAAAATGCCGAACACCCTTAGCAGGATGCAGCGCACCCTTCATGCGACTCGCCGAATACCTCACGGCGCTTCACGCTTGGTGAAGTGAGAGCCTGGTCCGGTGAGAACCCGGCGTGCTCCGTCCCGGCTCTGTAGGGATGCGAGGTCAATGGTTTAACGACTGCGGCATGCACGACTACGAGTACATCCCCCCCCCCCTCCCGGATGCGTTGGAGCTCCCCCTCAAGCGTGAAGTTTGTTGCCTAGTGGGACATGGTGTTGACTTGTGTGTGGCCCACGTTCTATGGCGTGCCGGTTTCCTCCTTTCCGTGATTGTTATCGTTTTTGTTTTGCTTTGACTCTTGCTTTCGGTTCGTGTTTTTTCGGCGAATCAATCGTCCGCTTGCCTCGCATGCTTGCACCCTCCTCCAACGTCTATGTGAGTTTTGTTCTGACGTTGTTATCTTCCCGGTTCGATGTAAGGATGCGTGTCTCGTTCCGTAATTACCGTTCCATTTCATGTCCCATGTCCTCGCGAATAACAATCAAGAACTTGCACAAACATCCACATATTAAGATTCTTTTGCCTCGGGGTGTGTGGGGTTGGACATACACACACAGGTGCGGGTGGTGCCAGCGACTGATGCCGACGCTGGAGGTGCTGGCTGAGGTGCTGGAAGAGAGCCAGAGGGGGATCACGGTGGGAACGGTGGACTGCACCACGCAGCAGAACCTCTGCACCAAGCGATTCTCTGTTCTGGTGCGTCGTGGTGGTGCCGTAGACCGTAGCATGCACACGCAGATACGCTTGGTGTGATGCATTTGATTTGCTCGCGTCGTGGTCGACCAGACCACAGCAGTACTCGATGTGCACGTAGAAGTTGCTTGATTGATGTGATTTGCTCCATGGTACGCATGAAGAGGAGGAGTTCTGTCCTTGACATTTGTCGATTTCAGGTCCACACCACGATATGTAACAGTTTTTTTTTTTTTTTCGTCATGTGTGTGCCCGACCAGTCGCTCGACGCGTGCGTGTAGGACCAACCTTCGATATCGAAAGTTATTTTGTTTCTCGGTGAAGGTGTGCAGGCATCAATTACGATGTATCATGGCCGACTGACTCATACCCCTCACGTCTGATCGATCCTCTCTTTCTTTCTTTGACATTGCACGGGCGATGCCACGCAGTGTGTGTGTGTGTCCCCACGCATTCTACGGTTTTTTTATTGATGAGGTTTTCACTTCGCCAACGCCTGTGGGAGTTGTGAACATGACTTTGCGGCAGCTCTTCTTCTTGTTTCGATCGCTTGGTTTCACCCCCCCCCCCCCCCCCCCCCCCCCCCCCCCCCCCCCCCCCCCCCCCCCC